ACCATTATTCCTCAAGGCTGGGAGTTTTCCTTCTCATTCCTGGGTTGAATTAGCTGACAGAGGACACAGAGATCATGACCTGCACCTGGGAGAGATTCTGGGATAGTGCAGGCTCTGAGATTTTGGGACAGTGCAGGCTCCCAACCCGCTTCCTGGAGGCTGCAGCAGGCCCCTGACCTTGACCTCATCAGGCAGCCACAGTCCCTGCCCTGCTGTCCCAACACTTGATTCCCTGAAGACAACTCCCCCACCCTGCCCCTTCAGCAGATTCACAGACATGCTGCACTCTTTTTCTTGCCATTTAAAGATGAAATGGTCTAAGTTTAGAAATACATCCTTGGGGTGGTTTCAACTGCTTTGGAAGTAAAAACAGAGCAACATGGAAATTTAAATGTGCCTAGAATGGGGATGCGTCTGACTTCAGACTCAATTACCAGGCAGGCTGCAAAGGAGACAACGCAGACGGCTCCTGATGCAGGGAAATTGGCTCTGGGCCAGGGCTGTAATAGGGATAATCATTTCCCACGTCACCCTTTGGTCCATTATTAAAAAGTAAAATAAAATGTTTCACTCTGTTTGCTTCAATTCCCTTCTTAGACTTCTCTCAGCCTCTCTCCCTCTCCCTGCAGCCAGGGAGGGAGACATGGGTGTGGTACCCCCCTGGCAGGTGGGCACCCACCTGCCCCGCACACCCCAGGTATATTTCTAACAAGAGGTGGAGGCAGATTGGTCAGAATGTTGCCAAAGCTACAGAGCCATGGCTAAGGTGCACCTCCTGGTGTGTCTCAGAGGGCATAGCTTTGTTTCTGGAATTCAATATGTAAAAACACCAATGATCCCTGTGGTGAAATAGGAAAAGGCAAACAGGAGGTCACCGCCTCATTTACCATGGTCCCCATTCTCACACTGCGTGGGGGAGGTCTGAGCTCTGCAGCCAGGGGGGCTCTACCTTGCCTGGCACAGAGAAGGGTCTGCTGGATGCTGGGTCCAGAGTACAGGGCTGTGGAGGCTGTAGAGGCACCGCCATCTCACACGTTTAGGAGCTGGCACGAAAGCCATTCTGTGTTTGCCCAGGATGAGGGACGCTGAGCCCTGTTTAGATGAGCATGGCAGCTCAGCCTGGCTTCGGTAGGTGCTCAGTGGACGTTTTTTGGACGGGCTCCATGAGCCTTCCAACCTCGCCGGTCCCTCACATCTCAGATCCTGCATTTTCTCCTTACGCCTCGCTCAGACTCAATATCTTTGCTTTTCTCCTGTCCCCCAAATTCTTTCCCTGCATCTAGCAGGTTTGGGGACTTCCTGCCTGTGCCCTTCCCTCTGACTCACAGCCATCTTTCTCGGCCCTCTGTTTTTGGATAGGATACAGCAAGCCTGCACTGCTAGCGCTCCCAGTGTGGCCCTCAGAACCCTCGGGGTCCCTGACACTCTCAGGGTGTCAGCGAGGTGGGCACGGTCCCCCCACAGTGGTGTGGTGCTGCCGCCCTGCTCACTATGGGAAGCACACTGGTGCTGCAGAATCCCCAGGGAGTAAAACTGCAGGTGTTTGAGCAGGAGCCAAGGCACGTGCCCAGCTGTGCTCACTGTCCCCGTGTGAATCGTCACAGTCACACAACAGATAAGAAAGATGCCAGTTGCCTTCAGGATGCCCTTGCTAAAGCAGTAGGAGTTACTAATTTTGTTATGTCTTGGTGGTGAGACAGGCAGAGCGGCTTCCTGGGTATGCCTGCATAGGCTCAGGGCCCCGGTGCTTGGAAGGGCCCATGCTGAAACCACCATGAAATTTGTTTTCATCCGGCCCTGGGCTCCAGTAATTACATAGCTGGTCTCTGCACCTTCCCAAGGCAGGATGGTTGTCTTAGGGGAAAGAGCTATGTGGTTGTTTGAGTTTGGAACTAAACTGGCCACTTTATTATGAGACAATGACCGGTTTTTGGATGTGGCTCTCTAGCAGGCATTTTCTCGAGGAACGATGAGAACGATGTGAACCTTGTCACCACGTGAGTCTGTCACTGCAAGGAAGTCCCCTGCAGGATGTGTTCCCAGTGATAAAATCTGAGCTTTCAAGAAAAAATTCAAAAGATGTGAATACACCACTCTGAGCATAACAGAAAACCTGAAGACTTTTCTGATGTTGTCAGTGGTGATACTGGCAAATGTGCTCTTTGGTAGTGAATAATGAAACATGCCAACATTCACAAGATCTGCAAAACTCAGCACTGAGGCAAAAGGGCTGCTTAAAGTCCAAGGTAGGGAGATGGGTATTAAGGTACTGGAGTATGAGAAGGTCATGGTACACAGTTGTCTGCCACATAATGACCCTCCCATCCTCTACCAACTGCACATATGTCAGGGATCCCATAAGATTACAACAGATCTGGAAAATTCCTATTGTCTAGTGACATCCATAGCTGTTGCAGTGACTTAGCCCAATGTGTTACTTATGTGTTTTTGGTGGCACTGGTGGAAACACGCCTTCTATACCACCAGTGTTTAAGTCCAGCACATACAACTGAGTAGAATATGTAATAGTGGATGGTGATGACAAATGGCGATGTTACTCATTAGTGTCTTTATTATACCATACTTGAGATCATTATTTCAGAGTGTGTGCCTTCTACTTATGAGAAGAAAAAAGGCTAGTGCAGAGCAGCCTCAGGCAGGAGCTGCAGGAGGTGCCCAGAGAAGGTGCTGTGTCCGGGCAGCTCTGTGTGTTACCCTCTGAAGACCTTTGGCGGATCAGATGTGGAGGTGGGGACAGGGACATTGATGGCCCTGACCCTGTAGGGTGGGGCTAATGCTTGTGTTTGCACCTAAATGTTTAACAAAAAGTCTACAAAGTAAAAAAATCAAAGAAGGAGATTTTTAAAATAAAGCTTATAAAATAAGGATCTAGATGAAGAAAAATTTTTGTACAGCTGTACAATGTGTGTTTTAAGCTAAGTATTATAAGAGTCAAAAAGCTTAAAATTTTTTATAGTTCAGGGTGGTGCCTGTGGCTCAAAAGAGTAGGGCACCAGTCCCATATACCAGAGGTGGCAGGTTCAAACCTTCCCCTAGCGTAAAACTCCAAAAAAAATTTTTTTTATAATTCATAAGGTTAAAAAGTCACAGAAAACTAAGGTTAATTTATTATTGAAGAAAGGAAAACACAGTTTTACATATTTAGTGTAGTCTAAATATGTACAGTGCTGATAAGTCAGTCTGTGGCCATGCCCAGCAGTGATTGAGCCATCGCACTCAATGACTCACCCAGGCCAACTTCTAGTCCTGCAGCTTCATTCAGGGTAAATGCCCTAGATGGGTTCACACTTTTATCTTTTTTTTTAAGAGACTCTCTCATTTTATCACCCTTGGTAGAGTGCCATGGTGTTACTGCTCACAGTAACCTCCAACACCTGCCTCAGCCTCCTGAGTAGCTTGGGACCACTGGTGCCTGCCACAACGCCCGGCTATTTTTTGTTGCAGTTTGACCAGGGCCAGGTTTGAACCTGCCACCCTCAGTATATGGGGCCAGCGCCCTACTAACTGAGCCACCAGTGCCACCTGCACATTTTATCTTTTATAGTACATTTTTACTGCACTTTTTCTATGTTTAGGTGCACAAATACTTTATATTGTGTTACAATTGTTCATAATACTCATTATAGCAACATGCAGTACATCGCTCCCAACCTAGGAGTGATGGACCAATTTCTGTACCACATGGTCCAGGTGTGCAGGAGGCTGCAGCATCTGGAGCGAGGCACCCTCAGAACACACCTTTGTTGTTAATCAGGGCATGACCATGATTCCATCTTGTAATCAACCTTAAAGAAGCTACTACTTGACACATTTTGGTGCAGCAGTGAAGAAGAATATTGTTGAGAAAACTCACCCCTTTCCAACTATGTGTCTGAGTGAAACAGAATTGTCTTCATTATACTTTGACCAGAAAGATACAAGTGAATCTCCTGACATCTGAAAGTCAGGGGTTAGCAAAGCTATGAACTGATATAACCTAGGGACCTGGAAAAAATAAATTAAGACCCACTCTGATGCAATTAATTGGTGATTTATTCGTACCTGCGCAGGAGCCATTGTTCTGAGACAAGCTGGCCCCAAAGTGCTGAGTTCTTTGTCTTTTCTACCTTTTTTTTTCTCTGCGTAGCTTAAGCAAGCAGAGGGAGATGAGGGACGTTGCCATTGGCAGGGATAAAGCTTGGTTGTCAATGGATACGTCTCAAATCACAATGGTTAGGATTATGTAACAATAATTGATGAATAGATATATCTTAAATCACAATGGTTATGGTTATACAACAATAATTAATCAAGCCTTGGTGAGTTTTTTGCCATTGCTCATCTACTGAGAACTTGGGGATTTTGTGAAACTTGGAACTTTCTGTGCTTTGACTCGGGCGGGGGTGGGGGTGGGGGGAGGGCGGGCATGGGAATGGGCTGGGAGAGCCCGTAGGGTGGGGGAACAGGAAACAGTGGGGGAAAGAGGGCTGGGTTACAACAAAACCAAGACTGCTCAAGGTTTTGTGGAGTTTGTTTGGTTTGGGAAATACCACTTTTAACAAAAAATTTTATGTTTATACTCACTGGGTTGATTATTTAAATCAATTTTTATTTTTTTAATAGATCACTAAATCCATACAGTAAAACAAACATTGACTACTTAAACTACATAATTCTGTATTACAGGATCTTTTAATTTTTTTTATTTCAAATTAATATGAGGGTACAAACTTTTAGGTTACATTGTTCACATTTCCAGGGTAAAGTTCCAGTTGTAAAAGAGCCCCTCACCCGGGAGGCATGTCATACATCCTCAGTATGTGCACATTAGGTGAGGTCCTGCCTCATGCCAATTGTCTCCCCAGCACCTCCCTCTCCCCCATACTAGACTATATTTGTATTTTATTGTTTGTAATTGTTTATATATTGGTTTCATATCAGTATGGAGTACATTGGATATTTATTTTTCTGTTCTTGCAATACTTTACTAAAAAAAAAAAAAAAAACTGGAACGTTTCACGAATTTGTGTGTCATCCTTGCTCAGGGGCCATGCTAATCTTCTCTGCATTTTTCCAATTTTTTAGTATATGTGCTACTGAAGCAAGCACTAAATAATTTTTTAAATTTTCTGCTTCAATATCTATTACTATGAAGTCTATTGTTCACAAAGCAAAGCTTTCCAGAGACCAAACCCCCAGAGAATTTCTCCCCCACTTTCCTGACCCATTGGATGGGACTCGGCCCTCACTTCAGTGAGGTGCACTCTTGACCCCTCCAGGAATCTGGAAGTAACTGGACAGGGCTCAGCAGGGTCTCACCTGTTGTGACCCTGGCCCCTCTATGCACCTGTTTCAACCCACTGATGAAAACCTGACCTTTCACCCTCCTGGACACATGGGCCTGACTCTCAGGAATATGGTAGAGCAGCTCCTTCATAGGAGCCAGTGGCACAAGATGGTACAGGTGAGCTAGGGGCACCTGTAACAAGTGAGTGATTTCTTGTGTGTCAGCCATAAAACCATATTAAGGGACTTCCATTCTAGACAAGATGAAGTACATGCATTTCTCTCTCCTCCTCTCTAGGCTTGCCCAGTGACTGTCCTGTTCTCAGTGTTTCCCTTTAATGTGATAAGAATCAGTAACTGTCCTTGCAAGCATGGTATCCATTCCTCTACATTCCAGGGCCCCCACCCCATCACTGCTTCTGATCTGCCTTTCACAGCCATCCTTGGGGCACTCAGCCCGGAAGCTTAGGGCCATCCCCTCTGTCCCCTGTGTGGTTTCTTGGCCTCTGAAGTTGTACCTTCCAGCCTAGCTTCATCTTGTGAACTGTTTCTGCTGTGTCCAGCTGCCCACTGCCCCCAGGCTGGTTTTCGGTCCCTGACTGCCCTCCTGGCCAGACAGTGGGCCCACATCTGTGTCTCTGCCCTGGGAGGACACCCTGAACTGGCACTCAAGTTAACGGGAGCCTCCTGGAGGGTATTTCCTCCAAGGAGGGTGCTGTTTTCCTCCTTGCTGAATGCACTTTTTCGTTTTGCCATTTTCCTGAGAATGTCCAGTCTACAATCCAGAGGGAGTAGGACTTTTATGGCCTTAGAGGCTCCCTCCAAAGTGTCCCTTCTCCTTTTCCTATTTCTTGTGTGTTCAGGCTTCCAAAACATGTGTAGAACCAGCAAGCACATATCTCCTCCCAGTTCTGATGCCCAAATCCTGTGAGGGGCTCTCCCAGGAGCAGTGCTCCCTCTACCTTTGCCCTGTGATCCCGAGCAAGCAAACAAGCCAAGGAAAGGCCTTTTCTCAGTGTCACAGCAGAGAGATCCCAAGGTGCCATCACCTGCACACGTCCAGGACTGACGTGAACAGAAATGCATCACCTGCACACGTCCAAGACTGACGTCACAGCTGAGAAATCTCAAGGTGCCATCACCTGTACACATCCAGACATGAACAGAAATGCAGCTCAGCCGATTTTCCAGGGGTGAGCTACCATTGAGTCTTGGACACAAGCTCTGAAACTGGCTGTCCCCCAAAGGGAGAGGTTTCTGGAACAGCCACCACAGGCAGGGTCACTCCCATATTATAGAGTCCTGAACGATGCCAAAGGTATTTGTAGGAGAACCTCAATGTGTCTCAAGAGTAGCGCACAAGGGACACAGCCTTGCTAATTAGCAAGAGAATAAATACCCCTGGGCTGAAATAGCTGCTCTCACAGATGAGGTCTCAGCCCAGTCATCCTCCCGTGCCCCTGGGAAACCCTGAGAAGAACCAAGCGCAGCCCCTCAGCTCTGATGTCAGCATCATGCCCCCAGCTTCTAACAAGACACTCAGGTAAAAAGTCTTCTCCAGCTGTCCAGCCTGTAGCCCTCACCTCTCCTGACTCCAGCCAGCTACAAATGAGCTTTCTTCCTGAAGGAACACTCGTTCCCTGGGAGCAGGAAGTGCCACCAATGCAACTTCAGTATGAGAATTTCCCATCCCTCATTCCAGGGGTTCCACTTGTTTTCCAGAGAGTTCTTGTAATGACTTCAAAAATACAACCCTATGAGTTCATCATCTAGACTCCAAGTTTTTTTTTATTATTTTATTGTGGTAAAAATTATATAACATAGGGTGGCACCTGTGGCTCAAAGGAGTAGGGCACCAGCCTCACATGCTGGAGGTGGCAGGTTCAAAGCCAGCCCAGGCCAAAAACTGTAAAAAAAAAAATCATGTAACATAAATCTTGCCATTTTAGCCACATTTTACTTTACTGTCCAAGACAATGGTGTTAAAATTGTTGCATCAGAAACTGCTAGTTCTTTATCTTGCAAATCTGAAGCTCTGCATTCATTAAACAACACCCTCTTCCAGCCCCTGGTAACCATTTTAGGCTTCAGTTTTTTGAACGATCAGTAAAGATCAAACAAGAAAATACAGAAAAAAAATTCTGACTAAAGGAACTGGGTTCCCTGTGAGGGGACCTTGTTGACTCCACAGGCTCACCCTGCCCACGTGGGAAGATCAGCAGCAGATTCTGCTGAGAGGCTGTGACAACAGGCCAGTGTGGACAACACCTGCATCTCCCCAGCTCTTAGTAAGTCCATCTTCATTCCTGTTGCCATTGGCATCTGGCACAAAGGTAAAAACACTCTCACAAAGTCATGCTTTCCATTCCATCAGTAATATGAGAACTTGCTGGAATGATTTGCTTTTGTGTGTTGGCTGGATCCCTTGTCGTCCATAGGGTTGAGCAAAGACTTTAAACATCTATTGGGTGGGCACTGCAGCTGAGCAGAGACACCCCCTGCCCTGCTCCGCTGGGCTGCACAGGTGGCCCCACCCAGCACTAAGGGCTGTGCACATCTGCTTCCTTCTAGAGAAACAACTGAGGAGGTACACGAAACTGCTATGTGTTCGTTCCACATACTGAGATCTAAACACCCACATTCATTGCGTGCTCCTCATATTGAGCAGTAGGTACTTTTCATCAAGGAATTCACATGATGATCAAACATATTGGCAAGCTCGCTCCTCCAGGGAGGATAAGGCAGTTCCAGGAGACTTGTGCCCTAGGCAGGCACCCGGCATTGGGCTTAGATTGAGTGTCCTGAGCAGAGGCCACCCAGAGGGGCAGTGGGGCCCACAGGGCAGAGCCCTGGCTCTGAGCACACCAGGCCCACCCATGCCCTGCTGAGGGCAGGGAGTGCCAGGAGGACAGTGAGGGCAGCATTTGCCAAGCTCATGAATGTCCTCCCACCAGACAGGAAGGCCATCTGGGCAAGGCCATGAGTTGTCACTACTGGATGCCCAGGGGCTCCCCAAATCACATCCACAAGCCCCCCAGGGAGAAGACACCAGCAGCGGGCCCAGAGCCCTGGCTGTGCCTTGCACAGTGTGGACGCCTGAGCTGGGGACGATGCCCTCTGCCGGCTGAGCCCCTGTCAGTCATCAGGGCACAGAGAAATCACTGAGAGCGGACATGGTATGGAGGCAATTGCCTGTGATTGATGGCACTAAATATGAAACCGCGTGTACCTCATCCGTGAGGCAGGAATCAGGGCACATTGTTAGTGCAGAGATGAATGGAACTCCAAATAACCTTGGCAAATTAGACATATGTTAGCATCAAGCTCTGTCACTAAGCAGGCTATAAATTACAGACGTATTGTAACTCCAGTAAACTCCTCTAATGAATTGAATGACTGCAGTAATTCAATGCTAACATAGCCACTTAACCCTTCTCAGAAGCTAGCCCCGGGCCTCCAGGATGCAACCAGTCAAGTGCATTTCTGGAGTTAGTCTTTAATATCTCTGGAGGGAGCATGCAGAGAGAGAAAATAACTTCTTAACATTTCCTGCATATCCCAAACAGAAGTTCAAGGCCCTACAGGCAATTACAATTCTTCATAGTTAATTCTTTTTTGAATTTTTCCCCCTGGCACATAACCTTTATTTTAGTCCTTTTTTTACCCTAAAATGATCACACTAAATCTGTGGAAGGCAGGAGCCTCATCGAGCAGAGTGTTCTGGGTGATTACTGTGCTCCTCTGGGGACAAGTGCTCTCCAGAAGAGGAGTGCACTTTCCATACAAATGCACTACCTGCAGTGTTTTGTTGCAAAAATGAAGTGGAATTTATAAATAAAAATAAGGTGCCAAGACAGACCTTATGAGCTTTCTGGTCACTGCTGACAGAGGTGTGACATCAGTGACAGCCCCACTGGGTGTGGGAGCCAAACTAATTAATTCAAGTCACAAGTCAAACTACCTCCTTTTTTTTTCACTGTTTGTTTAGGACAATGAGTCGCTGCACACCAGGACTAGGGACCTTATAATACCTAGGCGTTAAAGCCCACATTCTGACCCTCCTCGCCCTTTTTGCATTCGTCACCCACCTGCGACCCCTGCCCCTTTCACATTTGTCACTCTATACTCTCCCTGCCTGCGATCTCCCGCCCCCTTTTGCACTCCTCACTCTACTCTGTATTCACACCACCTGCGACCCCTGCCCCTTTTTGTGCTCCTCTGCGCTCACTCTGTTCATGAACCTTAGCCTTTCTTCTCATTCGCTCACCTGAGAGAAAGAAGACTCTCCCTAAGCCAATCAACCCTGAAACTGACCACCTTATACCTGTCGGTTTAAGAGAGATATAGTCTATCCACCAATAAGGGAATTAGGTGGGACGGTCTCGGGGAGGGAAGAGGGAAAGGTATAAAGGCATTGTTTGAACAGTCTGTAAGAGCTGTTCCCGCATTTTCTCAAAAGGGCAGCCCAGGCTCTGAGCTTAATGCACAAATAAAATTCCTCGTGCCTTTGCAGCGATGTACGGACTCTCAGAGTGGTGCTTGAATTGAATCTGGGGGTTAACATTTGGGGGCTCGTCCGGTATTCTAGCCCCTCTGAGAGACTCCCAATATCGGAGGGACACCGATTGGTGAGATTTGTCCGCTTGCAAGCTGTCTAGTGTTTGATGTTGTCTGTTTGTTAATCTGTGTTTGTAGATCACGGCTGAACGGGGAGGTGGACGCGCCACGGCCCAGAGCCATGAAAGGGGGCAGAGAGGAGACATCTTCTCCTACTGTATATGTTTTCTAGAGACCAGCCTGGAGGCAGGTGACGAGATGCTCCG